AAACCCATTTAATTAGTGATCTAGTTTGCTTAGATGTGTGACCCAATAGGATYATATAATATCAGTAATAYGCTTTAAGGCCCATARATTWTAAGTGGTTYCTAGCAAAACATTATAAYCATCTAATATTATACGATTGTCAAACTTTGACATTTTAACTTTCTAGAGTAAGTACAAATGATTTCAGGACATTCCCAACAACGAAGACTTCCTCCGACAGCGAAATCACCTATGCCGCCGGTTCTCGAATTAGTAGAGAATATCACAAAGTCTTCGCAGCCTGTTTTAACTCCCGTTGTAGCAACATCACTCCCTAAAGGAGCCTGGGCAAAGCCTTTGTCAATATAAGGTGCGATTTTGACTAGGAATTCAGTTGGGCCAGAAGCTGAAGTTGGACAAGTAATGGTCTAATTCAAGCTGTAGTAACTAGGATTTGGGGAAGTAAGTGTAGAATCTTCGTTCGCAAACTAGGAGAGTCAACTTATCTCTTCCACATTCCGGACGAATCAACCCGAAAATGGGTTGTGCAAAGGGGTTTGTGGCACATGGATGACTGCTTAATGTTTGTTTCACCATGGTCCCCTGCAGCCAGTATATCTGTTCCGGAAATCACAACGGTTCCGGTTTGGTTAACTCTCAACAACATCCCAGACCAACTGTATTCAATCCTTGGCATCAAGTGGATAGCTTCTGGTATTGGAGAACCAATGCTGACTGAGAAACCTTGGTTGGATCCCACACAAATGGGAAGAGCCAAAATCCTTGTTGGGGTAAAGCTTAACAAACCTTTCCCTCATAGAGTTGCTTTAACGGATATAAGTGATACAATCACTATGGTGGAGGTTCAATACTCTTGGCTGCCTACAACATGTTCCAAATGTGGACAATTAGGTCATAAGAGTTCACGATGTCTCCTTCAAAATGTAGTTACCTCAGAACAAAATTCTCTATCTCAATCTACTCTCACGGTTGATTCTGTAGCAGTGGCTTCTTCTTCTGGTTTGCAGCCTGTCAATTCTATAGTAGTGGATACTGTCTTGGAAGAACCAGAAACGGCAGCCTTGGATGCTCTTGCTCCACCACTAAGCACAGTCATCTCTAACCATATCATTTCTACAAGTATGGTTTCAACCATAACATGTCCTAAATCGTCTACTTCAATGATCGTTTCTCCTCCTTTAGGCAGCTCTATTAATATGGTCTCCTCAAAAGAGATCTCCACTTACAAGGAAGTATCCCCTCTTACTACTCAAGCAGAGCATGCTTGCAGGTCTTCACCCATTACAGATTTAGGTAATAATCGGTTTGCCTCTCTGGATTATTCAGAGGAAGACGATGAACCTGATTCATTAGAGGAATCTGACCCGATGGATATGATGACTCCATCGGGCAAAATAATCCTTAGAGAAAGACCGGTAAAACCTTCTGCAAAGGCTCTGGAGATGAAACTGCATTTCGTATCGGCTACGCGTGGAACACGTGGTCATGGAAAAGGCGGTCGTGGCTAAAGCGAGTTCACGGAAAATCTCTACTAAATCGAAGCGGAACATTCGATTCATTATCTAGTCTCACTTGTTGCGATTTTATCTTTACACTTTTGTAATATGCTCCCAAAAACTAGATGGTTTCGAACATCTTTGTAACCTTTTCATTAAATAAAAAGATGACATGTTCGTCTAAAAAAAAAAAAAATCGTATCAGCTAGTGACGTCAACCATATCGATGCTACGGACAAGATTGATGTATACGCCGTCGTTTCAATCGACGGCGACACTACTCAAAAGAAGCAATCAGCCAAAACACCCATTGATTACGACGGTGGTCCAAATCCGACATGGAATCACACTGTAAAGTTCTCCGTCAACGAGAGAGAAGCAAACGAAGACCTATTAATCGTAAAAGTCAAGTTATATAGCTATTGGCTAGAACATGAGAATGACCTTTATATGGGAGAAGTCAACGTCTCGGTTCATGAGCTTCTTGCTTCAAATCCGCTTCCACCGTTTGTTAACGGTAACGTCAATAAAATGAAGTCATTGACTTACCCTCTCAAACTCATAGGAGAAACAAAACCAAATGCAAAGTTGAGCCTCTCGTACCGTTTCAAACCAGTACCGGTTCATGACCTGTATCCTCAGCCTTCAGCACCACCGGTTTACTTGTCACGTTTTAGTCAACCCATTTACACAAACCCGGATCCAGCAATATTAGGTCAGTCCATCATTTATGCTCCTCAGGTTCAGACCACTGGTCAAGCCACTACAAGGACGAAACTAACCTTAGAGCTCGTGCTCATATATGCTAAGGACATAAGAAATGTCAATGTCTTCGATGACATGGACGTATATGCTTCTATTATGATCCGTTGGGGCAAGGAAACAATCAAGCATAACACCAAAACCCCTATCGCATATTCCGGCTTTAAATCCCCAACTTGGAATAACGCCGTCAAGTTTTCGCTCGACGAGGAGGAGGCAGCTCGAGAAGACCGTTTCACACTCATCGTCGAATTGATGAGCCACCGGCCACTGATGGGAGATAAGCATATTGGAAAAGTACAAGTACGGATTCAAAAACTTATTGATTCAAACCAGCCGCCTCGGCTAAATGACGTCGATGCTATCGGTATGAAGTTAGTGACACACAAGGTGACTGTTCCTAAAGGGGTAAAAGGATTCCTAACCTTCAAATATAGGTTTCTTAAGGAGCAAGTTATGAGTCCAATTGTTCCAGACACAAAACCCCAACCATATAATGTGTATGTACCCGTCCCACATCAGTCATACGGTTCAGCAGATCCGGTTCATGAAACCCCGGGTTACATGACTGTTCACCAAGGAGCAAATGTTGGGACAAGTAATGGTCTAATGCCACTTTATATGCCGCCTCCATATCAACCACATGGATACCAACAATATTCACAACCGCAACCGCATCTACCATCACAAAATCTGCAGCCTCAACCACAACCTCATCAGCAGTTCTCCCTCGATTCGCAATCACAAATGTATCAGTACTCACATGGATACCATCAATATTCACCATCGCAACCTCAGATGCAACCGCAACTGCTACACCCAAGACCACAAATGAACGCACAAGGTGGGAGCATGGGAGGACTAGGATTAGGGGCAGTGGTTATGGGACAAGTAATAGGAGGAGCTTTAACGAGTGACATGATGTCCAACGAAGTGAAACATATATGAGGATAGAGACTTGAAGGCTTTGGTTCTTCATAACCGGTGATCAATCCACAGTCTTAATTGAAAATTTGGTATTGGAATTTTCTAATTTCGTTGTTCCTTTTGGTTCGTATTTGGTTTGGCTTATGGGTTGTCTTTGTTTCAATGTTTGTTTGCTTCCATGAGAATTTGTAAATAAAAAAAAGTTTCTTGAGATGCATGGTACAATATTATTATTAAAGATTCTTTGAATTC